ATACCTTTCAGTTCTTCAGAAGAAGTTGTTTGAAGTGTTTGACACATTTGACCCCTGTGACCTTGAAAGTAGGTCAAAGTCATTTTCATTCTCAAACTTTGTTAAGCTCCATCCCAGGAAGCCATCAGCCAAATATGAAGATTCTATACCTTTTAGTTCTTCAGAAGAAGTCGTTTGAAGTTTTTGACATATTTGACCCCTGTGACCTTTAAAGTAGGTCAAGGTCATTTTCGTTCTCAAACTTTGTAGGGCTCCTACCAACAAAGCTTTCAGCCAAATATCATGACTCTAGTCCTATCCGTTCTTCAGAAGAAGTTGTTTAAAGGAAAAGTTGACGGACGGACGACAGACGGACAACGGACGACGCACCACGACATAAGCTCATTTGCCCTTCGGGCAGGTGAGCTAATAACCAAGGGGAACTTACATATGAAATTTACTAAAGATTCCTCTAGTACTTCCCGAGATATAGCGATAACAAACTTTCACTATCAAAATCCAAGATGGCTGCCTGTTGGCCATGTTATTTATCCAAACAGTCTGAAAAGTTGCCCTGCACAACTAAGGAACAAGGGAAACCTACATATAAAATTTGAGAAAGATCCCTCTGGTACTTCTTGAGAAGTAGCGATAACAAACTTTCAATATCAAAATCCAAGATGGCTGCCTGTTGGCCATGTTATTTATCCAAACAGTCTGAAAAGTTGCCCTGCACAGCTAAGGACCAAGGGGAACCTACATATCAAATTTGAGAAAGATCCCACTGATACTTCTTGAGAAATAGCGATAACAAACTGATACTTCTTGAGAAATAGCGATAACAAACTTTCACTATCAAAATCTGTGATGGCTTCCTGTCGGCCATGTTGTTTATCCGATCAGTCTCAAAAGTTGCCCTCCACAGCTAAGGACCAAGCTTAAGGGGAACCTACATATAAAATTTGAGAAAGATCCCTCTGGTACTTCTTGAGAAGTAGCGATAACAAACTTTCAATATCAAAATCCAAGATGGCTGCCTGTCAGCCATGTTGTTTATCCAAACAGTCTAGAAAGTTGCCCTGCACAGCTTAGGACCAAGGGAAACCTGCATATAAAATTTGAGAAAGATCCCTCTGGTACTTCCTGAGAAATAGCGATAACAAACTTTCACTATCAAAATCTGTGATGGCTTCCTGTCGGCCATGTTGTTTATCCGATCAGTCTCAATAGTTGCCCTGCACAACAAAGGACCAAGGGGACCCTACATATAAAATTTGAGAAAGATCCCTCTGGTACTTCTTGAGAAGTAGTGATAACAAACTTTCAATATCAAAATCCAAGATGGCTGCCTGTCTGCTATGTTGTTTTAAACCGATCAGTCTCAAAAGTTGCCCAGCACAGCTAAGGACGAAGGGAAACCTGCATATAAAATTTGAGAAAGATCCCTCTGGTACTTCTTGAGAAGTAGCGATAACAAACTTTCAATATCAAAATCCAAGATGGCTGCCTGTCTGCCATGTTGTTTTAAACCGATCAGTCTCAAAAGTTGCCCAGCACAGCTAAGGACCAAGGGAAACCTGCATATAAAATTTGAGAAAGATCCCTCTGGTACTTCTTGAGAAATACCGATAACAAGAACTGTTTAAGGACGACCGACAAACGACGGAGGGACCACGGACCACGGACGCAGAGTGATTTGAATAGCCCATCATCAGATAATGGTGGGCTAAAAATCACAGTACTAGCACATGTGAGATATCAAGTAAATCACATTGAAGGCCAAACTAAAAGTAAATATAGTTAAGCAGTATATTTATGACGACACCAAGAAGATCTTGTATGGTTAATTTCAGCTTGACAATTGTGTCCGTATTTCCTTCACTCATTGTCCATATTTCCATAACTCTATCTGTATTTCTCTAACACCTACTGCCTTTCGTAAATTTCCTTTTTAGTTTTGCCTCAATCTGAAAGTTGCATTCAAACTCATTTGGTTGTTGAGGTAGATTTAGTAACTCCTCCGGTGTATTTCAGTCATTGCCTACCCTACCTATGTACAGATGCCTGGAGGTCTACTTCAATGTGACATAGCTGTCCGTATTTACCTTACTCTACCCTACAGTAGATTTATAAATGTATACTTACATCAGAATCAGACTGACTGTTGACTTCTAAAACCATCTCATCTTCATCATCCGATGATTCTAAAAATACAAAACTCACTCTTACAAGATGCACAGAATCTTAAATTTTAATAAAAAGTTTTTTAACATGTAAACATTAATTTGTTAAAATTAATGACATTATTTTCTTTTGGAAAATTTGAAAGTTTCATTTTTATGAACTACCAGGTAAGCACAGAACATTTCACTTAAGGATGTACACCTCTGAGAAGTCAAAAAATTCCTGTATTAAACTTTTTTTCTTTTATAGATTTTTGGAAAAAAAAGAGTAGAAAATGCAAAAAAAAATAGGTCTGTGTTCGTTTTTGTGCTATGATCGGTCAAAGATACCAATTTAACACAATATGTGATTTAAGGTGATTTTTTTGGTTTTGACCATTTGCAGAACAAATTCATACAATTTACCCCTAGTGTGTTATCAAATATGTATAAATGTTTGTAGAATTAATATTATTTTCTTTTAAATTTCTTAATCTTATTCTTTTAACTCAGAAAGGCGATTTAAGTTACCCCTACCCCTTATTTTTTAATGAAAAAATACATATAATTTGTTCACCATTCTTTGCAGATTAAATGCTTGATACAAAAAGTTCTGCTATAAAACATTTTTTAATATTTATTGAATCAAAAGAAAATGTGATTGACTTCCGGTTTTGAGATGGTTGGGTGAGCGTGGCGTGGCATACATGAGGAGCTCCATAAAATATTTTTAACGTGAGGAGCTCCATAAAATATTTTTAACGTCGGCCTTTCAGCCTGTATAAACTACTACGTCAGCACCAGTACCTAGTGCAAAGGTAACATTGTAAACTCAGTAACAAGAACAATTTGTGTTGTTTACGCTTCAAAAAGACTATTTTTGTATAGTGTCTACCCGCCCACCTGCTTTAGCTATACACGTGTGTAATATTCTTGTGTGTACTATCATGGCTATGGAGGTCGACCCCAGTAAAAAGCTGAATACCAAGTTCTGGTTGACTCTTATAAACATACAGACGTAGCAGAGTGCTTCGCCAATATGCACTTCAGTTTCAATCTCGAGGTTGATGCTATTAAAAGCAGTGTTAAAGAGCTCGACAAACGCGTCATCCAATTGGAGAACTTCGCCACTCATGCTAACCAGGCTCTTGGCGAACTAAAACCGGCTATGAGTACTGAAATAGCCAGTGAGGCACATGAACGTTTGAAATTAGAGATATGGGGGCGCAAATGGAACCTGATGATTAAAGGTATCGAGGGATCCGAGGGAGAAAAACCCAGGGAGACAGTTAAAAAGGTCAAGGCATTTTTGTTTAAAGATCTAAAAATTGTGAATGAAACCGTTGAAAATATGACATTTCCAGCAGCACATCGACTAAAAGGGGGCCAGGAGGGAACAAAAAACGTCTTTGTGCGCTTCAGCAGCCTGATCGACAGGGATGAGGTGCTGGAGGCAGGTATGGGTCTCAAATCTGGATCGGGTTTTAGCGTTGTTCCAGACCTACCCTCCAAAATAAGTAAACTTTCATCCAAACTACTAATGAAGCGCTGGGAAATGAAACCGGAAGAAAAACAGAAATTTAATTTGGTTTACCAAAAGGAATACCCGTTTGTTGTACTAAAACAAAAACAAGAGGCCCAATGGGCCTGAATCGCTCACCTGGTATAAATCTTACACTTGTAACCTTAAAAGTGATCTAAAATAAAGCTACAGGCAAAATATCAGTATTTATGATAACAAGAGGCCCATGGGCCTTAACGGTCACCTGAGTCTATAGTATTTATTTTTGTTGTTGAAATATGTACCAATTTGAGTAAAAAATAGTATAATGTTAACTTAACTTTGTCAGGACCATGAGCTGATCATTCCTAGACCAATTTTAAGTGAGATCGGCCTATTAGAACTTAGTAGCAAAATAGCGGCCATGGCAGCCAAATTGTATTTCTGATTGACCCGAAAAATAACAACACTTTGTCAGGACCATGAGGCGATCATTCCTACCAACTTTCAGTTCAATCGGTCCAGCAGAACTTGACTTTAAGTTTGAAATAGGTTTTCAAAATGGCGGCCGTGGCGGCCATATTGGATTTCTGATCGACCCGAAAAATAACAACACTTTGTCAGGACCATGAGGCGATCATTCCTACCAACTTTCAGTTCAATCGGTCCAGCAGAACTTGACTTTAAGTTTGAAATAGGTTTTCAAAATGGCGGCCGTGGCGGCCATATTGGATTTCTGATCGACCCGAAAAATAACAACACTTTGTCAGGACCATGAGGCGATCATTCCTACCAACTTTCAGTTCAATCGGTCCAGCAGAACTTGACTTTAAGTTTGAAATAGGTTTTCAAAATGGCGGCCGTGGCGGCCATATTGGATTTCTGATCGACCCGAAAAATAACAACACTTTGTCAGGACCATGAGGCGATCATTCCTACCAACTTTCAGTTCAATCGGTCCAGCAGAACTTGACTTTAAGTTTGAAATAGGTTTTCAAAATGGCGGCCGTGGCGGCCATATTGGATTTCTGATCGACCCGAAAAATAACAACACTTTGTCAGGACCATGAGGCGATCATTCCTACCAACTTTCAGTTCAATCGGCCCAGCAGAACTTGACTTTAAGTTTGAAATGTAAAATGTTAACGGACGACGGACGATGGACGACGACGGACGAAAACGGATAGCAATAGGTCACTTGAGCTAAAGCTCAGGTGACCTAAAAATTCATTCAAAAGACCCTGCTGTTGTTTTTTTTAAACATTTCACCCCTGTGATTGAAAGTCAAACAAAGTCATTATGTTGAACAAATTTTATAGCCATTCATCTCAGGATGCAACTTGCAAAGTATCAACATCCTGGGACCCATGGTTATTCAGAAGAGGTTGTTTAAAGATTTTAAACAAATTTGACCCCTGTGACCTTGAATATAAGTCAAAGTCATTCACTTTAACAAACACAGTAGTACTTGATCCCAGCATGCTACTGACTAAATATCAACATCCTGAGCCTTTTGGTTATTCAGAACAAGTTGTTTAAATATTTTGAACATATTTGCTCCTTGTGACCTTGAATTTGATTCAAGGTCATACATTTAAACACACTTGGTAGCCCTTGATCCTAGTATGCTACTGACTAAATATCATCACCCTAGCCCTTCATCACAGCATCTAACTGGCAAAATATCACAACCCTAGGCCTCTTGGTAGTTCAGAATAAGTTGTTTAAAGGTTTTAAACATATTTGACCACTGTAACCTTGAAAATGGGCGAAGGTCATTTGTTTGAACAAACTTGTTAGCCCTCCATCCAAGCATGATACTGGCCAAATATCATCACTGTTAGCCTTTTAGTTACTGAGAAAAAGTTGTTGAAAGGTATTTAAAATATTTGACACCTGGGACCTTGAAAATAGATGAAGGTCATTCATTTGAACAAACTTGGTAGCCCTTCATCCAAGCATGTTACTGGCAAAATATCATCATCCAATGCCTTTTGGTTATTCAGAAGAAGTAGTTTTAACGTTTTAAACATATTTGACCACTGCAACCTTGAAAATGGGCGAAGGTCATTTGTTTGAACAAACTTTTTAGCCCTTCATCCAAGCATGATACTGGCCAAATATCATCACCGTTAGCCTTTCAGTTACTGAGAAGAAGTTGTTGAAAGGTATTTAAAATATTTGACCCCTGTGACCTTGAAAATAGATGAAGGTCATTCATTTGAACAAACTTGGCAGCCCTTCATCCAAGCATGTTACTGGCCAAATATCATCATCCAATGCCTTTTGGTTATTGAGAAGAAATTGTTTAAAGGTTTTTAACATGTTTGAACCCTGTGACCTTGAAAATGGGTGAAGGTCATTTGTTTGAACAAACTTGGTAGCCCTTCATTTCAGCATGTTACTGGCCAAATATCATCACCCTAGGCCTTTTGGTTATTCAGAAGTCGTTCAAAGATTTTAACATATTTGACCCATATGACCTTGAAAATGGGTGAAGGTCATTTGTTTGAACAAACTTGGTAGCCCTTCATCCCAGCATGTCACTGGCCAAATATCATCACCCTAGGCCTCTTGGTTATTAAGAAGAAGTTGTTTAAAGGTTTTACACATATTTGATCCCTGTGACCTTGAATATAAATCAGATCATTCATTTGAACAAACTTGGTAGCCCTTTATTTCAGCATGTTACTGGCCAAATATCATCACCCTAGGCCTTTCGGTTATTCAGAAGAAGTCGTTTAAAGGTTTTAAACATGTTTGACCCCAGTGACCTTGATATATTCAAGTCAAGGTCATTTATTTGAACAAACTTAGTATCCCTTCATCCCAGCATGTTACTGGCCAAATATCAACACCCTAGGCCTCTTGGTTATTCAGAAGAAGTTGCTTAAAGATTTTAATGTATTTGACCCCTGTGACCTTGAAAATAGGTGAGGGTCATTTATTTGAACAAACTTGGAAGCCCTTCATCCCAGCATGCTTCTGGCAAAATATCATCACCCCAGGCCTTTTGGTTAATGAGAAGAAGTTATTTAAAGTAAAAAGTTGATGACGGACGGACGGACGCCGGACGCCGGACGCCGCACCATGCCATAAGCTCACTTGGCCCTTCGGGCCAGGTGAGCTTAAAATTATAGAAATTTAGACCTATATTCTGTCTACATGATGTCTCAAAATGCAGCGAACAAGACCCGGCAAAAATGGGAGAGTATCAAGCTTATTCTAGAATGAACTACTAGTACTTAACTACTCGTTTATATTGTATTTCTTCTCCAGGAACCTTTGTAAATATGTAATGCAATTATGTGACTGACGCAATAAAAATATGTCAAAGACAAAAAAAAAGAAACTGTGTTTCTCTTTCTAAAATAGCCACAAAAATGGGGGGTCAGTGTGCTTCTTTTTTTGTCCCATTATTATTCGAGTTATTTTTCACCTTTTTGGGGGTCAAAAATCAAGTACCGTAAAAACCCATGTAATTTGCGTAGGTACTTTTTGAGGCTGAAAATCTGGAAAAAAGCTTCTACTCGAATATTTTGCGCACCCAAAAATCTGGAAAAAAACCGATGTTCATGCTCCGAAAATCGATCTCCGAATATATTTTTTTAAAATATATTTCTATGAATTTTTTTTCATTGATGTAAAATGATATTTAAAACCAAGAAGAAACTACGTAAAATGTGTATTTTGTTGCTTGTTTTCTTTGAATTATCTGATCACACATGACACACACGTGTGCGCATATCGGCATACATCAATTCATTTTAGCAATATTTTACATAAAACATTTACTTGCTTACAAAAACATATCAATTAATAAGTAATTCGATGTTTAGTAACCGCTGGTGCATATCTCCTGGTGAAAGACATAATTAGATACCTTTTATTGATCATAATTACGATCAGTGAGAAGGGCTCATCATGGCGGCTTGGGTTACGTCACTTCAAACCAGGTCATGTCACAGTTCAGTTTGGCCACGGAATTAGATTATCTAAGTCCGTGGTTTGGCGATATTTTTTACAAATTACAATGCAGTAATTAGCTAACACTATCTCTGTGATTACCCGTTAACAATAGCTCTACTAATTGAAATGATTTGCAGTCGCGATCGACGGACCGTGTTGTTGTTTTTTCACTCACCAACACGTGGCGTGAATTACGAAGCCCTACTGCATTGTCATAACAACAGACTGATTTGACTGATTAGGGATTATAAAAAATATGTTTATACTAGAAGCGTGGACAATCAATACATCCTCTTCAAATCTACTCCAAGGAAAAAAATAGTTAACGCAGACTATTTTTACGATGCTTCATTTAATAAATATTGAAATAATTCACGAGGTTATTATCAATCACGTGATTACGTAATGTTAGACGTGAGATCAACATGAAAGTGAGCTGTAAAAAAAACATGCTATACGTTTACGCATAGACGATTTGAAAAAACCTTACAGAACTTACATGGAACGGAGCTTAAATTGAACAACTACATTTTCGTAATAGTATGGGGAAATGCACCGAGATGTCGAAACGTAATGTCGTAAGTTGATCGGCGATTCTCTGGCATAGGAATTTGGCTAAACTTTTTTTGTTAACGGTTACCTATTTAATAATACTTTTCACATAAACTCACATAACAACACATTATGTATCTTTTATTAAGGTTTGACATAAATAAATTTGTTGACCGTCATTTGTCTTAGAGTTCCGTGTATAATAAATAACAGAAATAATCCAAAATGGCGATCTCCCAGAATCGTCGATCTTTTCCTGAAAAAAACTTGAAATTTTTCTATACCTGTGTATTTTACGCACCCCCCACTTTGGGTATTAAATTTCTGAAAAAAAAGTGCGCAAATTACATGGGTTTTTACGGTACTTCAGTTACACTAAATGTATAATTTTCCACTTTGTTGCATATCATTTTTATGATATTGAACATTATAAGGTTGTGCAGAAAAATTGAACCTGCTACAATTAACAAGAGGCCCAGAGGGCCTGTATCACTCACCCGTTTCTTTTGTCACATAAAACTGACACATAGGTAACTTAAGACCAAATTTGGTAACTAGAACACAAGACATTTTAACATCTCTAAGACGGTTCTGAAGATATTGTTGTTTAAAATTTCCAATTTTAAAGTTTTTAACCTACATTGACCTTTGAATCCCAACTTGCACTTAAAGTTGACCTCTGACCTCAGTACTGTAATAAAGTTAACAATTCACACAGCTGGTCTACATAACATACCCAAGTATCATGACTCTAGTACAAATGGTTCTTAGGATATTGTTGTTTGAAGTTTTTAACATATTTGACCCCTGTGACCTTGAAAATAGGTCAAGGTAATTTTAATGGGGACAATTTATAGCACTTCATCCCAGGTACCTACTGGCCAAATATCATGACCCTGGGCCTTATGGAACTTGAGAAGAAGATTGTTGAAGCTTTTAACCCATGTTGACATTTGACCCCTGACTAGCACTTAAAGTTGACCTTTGACCTCATTAGTGTAATTGAGAAAAATAGTCGCACTGCTGGTCTACATAACATACCCACTTAAAGTATCATGACTCTAGTCCAAATGGTTCTTAAAATATTGTTGTTTGAATTTTTTAACATATTTGACGCCAGGAACTTTGAAAGTAGGTCAAGGTCATTTAAATGAGGACACTTTATAGCACTCCATCTCAGGTACCTACTGGCCAAATACCATGACCCTAGGTCCTCCAGTTCTTCAGAAGAAGTTGTTTAAAAGAAAAAGTTGACGGATGGACGACAGACGGACCCCGCAGTACGGCATAAGCTCACTTGGCCCTTCGTGCCAGGTGAGCTAAAAATGGCGACACAATGACAATTTAAGTGATCAATTTAGTGTCAAAAAAGGTGAAATTTTGGCCTTTTGTGAAGCGCAAGAAATACACAGTAACTCTTTCTGTACCGCAAATCCGGTCCGGATTCCGTACCGGATGTCCTTACTAGCTTCGCCCCTGCGCGAATAACAAAATGGCTGATTATTAATGATCATTTTAGACGAGGTGTAATTGCTGCAAGAATTAAACAGGTAACGGTGAACAGATATTGTTATTTTTTCAAGTTGTTGTTTATAGACACACGACTCTTCATTTTCGCATAATTATTACTTACTGGCAGCTAATTATGAATGAGAAATCAACATCTGTTTGGCAACAAACGATAAGAAACCTTGTTTTCAAAACAGCGTTGTAGTGGAGGTTCCTAATAGGAATTGGTTATTGTTTACGAATACGAAGACTTTATTTTTTTCTAATTACAAGTAGATTTCATTAGGACTTATATTAAAACATTCATATTTTCTTCCATAAGTCCCAAAAAAAATTTGGTGATGAATTTACAAGTGTTCATATCGAATTAAGTTGCTGCCATGTTGTTTATATTTGAATCACCAAACGGAAACATCTTGCGGCAGATTCGAAAACGAAAGGTCACAAAATATAAATTGTGTACTCTGTACATATAAAACTATATCTTTCAAACTGATGGGTGCTGATTTTAGCGACAAATAATTGTGTTACGCGATTGTCGTGTGCGATAACCAGCTAAACATAAGACAAGTTACACCAAAGTCTGATATATTGTTGTTGTCGTCTGTACACGACAACAGTACGGAAAGAGTTAATACACATTTTCAAAATGACCACAGAATAGGTTATTTTTTTAAATTCTTGTAAAAAAAGTTCTAAAAAAACACCAGGCTTCTAGTTTTTTGACATATTTTTCAGATGCGTGTTTGCTATTAAACTAGATCATAAGTTGTCAAATATTACAAAAACCTGTTACACCAGATCAAAATCTCAGATGAGTACATCCTTAATAGCATGGTGCTTAATGTCACTTTTCGGTTATAATCATGTTTTCTTGACGCACTGTTTTCCTGCTATAGAATCTATGTAATTGTGTAGTTTATTATTTATACTAAACTTTGTTTGTAAACAGCCATTTGTTTATGACATGTGCAACATTATTGATTTTGAATTATTTAGCTTTGTTAGAGTAACTATGTAAGTAGATGTATAGCGATAAATAGATTTAAATGTCCATGTGACGGTAATATATATAAATTTATAACCTTGACCTGCCTAGTGATAACTTGAGCCAATCAGAATCATCCCTATATATATATAGTCTAATTATTACCATACTATCAGGTGTTAGAAGAGTGTAAGATTATACATACAGTGATTCTAAGAAAATTATATTTTTGGATGTGCCTTTTTGTCATGGAGGCTCGACGGATCAAACACACTACATAATATTGTTGCTGCCATTCAGACAAATTTACGCAATAGTTTGGTTTGGTTTAATTTTTGTTTAACGTCCTATAAACAGCTAAGGTCATTTAAGGACGTGCCTCCATGTGTGTAGTGTATGCTTGCTTGCGTGTGTGTATTCAGGAGACAGGGTATGTTGGTCTGCTTGCATCCTTGTGATAGCGCGGATTTGATGCCGACTTTATAGTGCTATCTCACTGAAATGCCATGCCGAATGCACCCAGCCCAGCATTCTGCCCGGTCACATTTTACTGACAATGGGTGAACCAGTTGTTGCCATTCCCCTAAATGCTGAACGTTAAGCAGGGAATAACAACTAGCATTTTGAAGGACTTTGGTATGTCCCCGCCTGGGGACAGAACCTATTGCCTTCCTCACCAGGGTGAACGCTTAACATTCAAGCCATAAAAGAGGTGTTACCAAGCAAGACGCTAGGAAATAAAAGGTAGTTATTAGAAGAAAGAAAGATAAAGACCACAAATATTGCAATGGGCTGAGCAGATTTATTTTGATCGCTTTTGTGTCCCCAAATAAAGGACACCAAAGCAAATCCCCAATTCTGCAGGGGGTTCAGACATTAGTCACCTCCTATGATACATGCAGTGGGTAACAGCTGGCAGATTCTTTTCTCAATACCCTACCTGCCTGTGTATATGCAATAGACCTGATGTTATCTTTTTTTGACTAGTCCAGCATTTCATTCGTCGGCCTAAGGAGGACTACATATGGATGCCAAAATGAAGGAACTAGCTTCCAAAGGTAAAGGTATTGTTAAACGAGAAACAACTTTGAGAGACAGTTAAATAAATATAAAAAAATATATGAATATTTGGTTTTAGTTTAAACATTGTTTAACAATATTATATATACTTCCAACATGTTTATATAGGGCTAAACTTCAATTGATTTTCAACCAGTTAAATATATTTTCATTTATTTCGGGCCAGTGGAGCTAAAATTATCTTATTGGTAGAAAGAGGCTAGAATTTTAAAGAACGACACACATCATATGACACCTACCCTCCTGGTACATGAGCAGTGGCTGCTGGCCTGTCAACCTCTCATCTTCGTGCTGCTCCTGGGTTGTTATCTGCAACACAAAAACAGTTTGGGGCATAAATGGTGCCGATGATAAGTTCAAATCAAAACGATATTAAGAGTCTGTTCTTAATACCCAATTCTGATACAAAACATATATTTCATCAACAAAGATGAAGTTGTTTTAAATTCTTTTGAAGAAAATTGACCCTTGTGACCTTGAATATGGCTACAACTCATTTACTTGAACAAAATTGGTATCCCTTCATCTAGGCATTCTACTGGCCAAATAGCATCACCCTGGATCTTTTGGCTATGTAGAAAATGTCATTTTCAACATATTTGACCCCTGAGACCTTAAATATGGGTGAGGGTAATTTATTTGAACAAACTTGGAAGTCCTTTATCCCAGCAATCTTCTGGCCAAATAACTTGATCCTCGACCTTTTGGTTATTCAGAAGAAGTTTTTTTTGAAGATTTCAACATATTTGACACCTGTGGCCTTGAATATGGGCAAAGGTCTTTCATTAGAAGTTTAGAAGTTAGAAGCATTCTAATGGCAAAATAACATTTTAGGCCTCTTGACTATTCAGAACCAAGAGGCGCAAAAGGGCCCGGCTTGCTCACCTGGTATTTGAAACCTTAAAAGTGGACAAAAACAAAGCTAAAGACAAAATATTAGTCTCTTCACTCAAATTCATACAAAAGAACCTGTAGGATTTAAACACATTTGACCCCTGTAACCTTGAAAGTCAAACAAGGACATTAAGTTATAGCCCTTCATCCCAGGATGCAACTTGCCAAATATCACCACCCTATACCTTTTGTTATTGAGAAGATAAGTTAATATTTTTGAGCAGTATGACAGATGTCAAGGTCATTCTCATGAACAACTTTGATAGCTCTTCATTTGACCATGCTTCTATAGTCACATATCACCCTTTGCATTTTTGCTATTCAGAAGAGGTCGTTTAAGGTTTTTAACACAGTTGACCCCTGTAACCTTGAATACAAGAGGCCCAATTGGCCTGCATCAATCACCTGGTATTAATCTCAGACTTGTAACCTTAAAAGTGATCTAAACTAAAGCTATAGGCAAAATATCAGTATTTATGACTAAAAGTCATTCATAACAACTGTGACCTTAAAAGTGGAACAAGTTCATTACGTTAAACAAACTTTATCTCACTTCATAAGCATGCAACTTGCAAAATGTCACCACCCTAGAGTTTTGTAATTGAGATTAGTTCATTTGAAGCATATTTAACCAAATTTGACCTTGAAAGTGGGTCAAGGTCATTCAAAAGAACAAGAGACCCAATGGCTCTGCATCGCTCACCTGGTATCACATGGACCTCATATCAAAAGTGGACAAAAATAAACCTACAGGCAAAATATCAGTGTCTTGACTCAAAGTCATTAAAAAGAACCTGTTAAAAGATTTAAACACATTTGACCCTGTGACTTTGAAAGCAAAACAAGGACACTAAGTTGAATAGTGTTTATAGCCCTTCATCCAAGAAAGCAACTTGCCAAATACAACAACATTATACCTTTTGTTAATTAAAAAGATGACTATAAGATGACTAAGATTTAGACACAAGTGACAAAATGTAATCTTGAAAGTGTCAATGTCATTCACATGGACATTTGTTAGCTCTTAATCTGAGCACGCTACTGGTCACATATCACCACCATTTGCAGTTTTGTTATTTAGAAGTCATTTATAGTTTTTGACATAATTGACTTGTGATCTTGAATATGGGTGAAGGTCATTTATTTGAATAAACTTGGTAGCCCTTCATGCCTGCATGTTACTAACCAAATATCATCACCCTGGACATTTTGATTATTCAGAAGATGTTGTTTGAAGTTTTTAACATATTTGACCCCTGTGACCTTTAATATGTGTGAAGATCATTTATTTTAACAAACTAAGTAGCCCTTTATTCCAGCATACTACTAGCCGAAAATCACCATCCTGGTCCTTTTAGTTATTCAGAAGAAGTTGTTTATAAAGATTTTTTAAACGACAATATACCCCTTTGACCTTTAATTATGGGTGAAGGTGATTTATTTGAACAAACTTGGTAGCCCTTCATGCCTGCATGTTACTAACCAAATATCATCACCCTGGACATTTTGATTATTCAGAAGATGTTGTTTGAAGTTTTTAACATATTTGACCCCTGTGACCATAAATATGTGTGAAGATCATTTATTTTAACAAACTTAGTAGCCCTTATATTTCAGCATGCTACTACCCGAAAATCACCATCCTGGTCCTTTTAGTTATTCAAAAGAAGTTGTTTATAAAGATTTTTTAAACGACAATATACCCCTTTGACCTTTAATTATGAGTGAAGGTCATTTATTTGAACAAACCTTGGAAGCCCTTTATCCCAGCATGCTACTGGCCAAATATCATCACCCTGGGCGTTTTGGTTATTTAGGAGAAGACGTTTAACCCTTAGGCTGCTATGCGCCACAATAGTGGTTTCGAAAAGTCGGGCCGTCGGTGCTACGTACGACAATAGTGGCGCTCGGTCTGTAGGTTTTTGATCGGTAAACAGGAAGTGTGAAAGCGTACAGTTGCTATACCAAACCCGAAAGCGTATAGTAGAAGGCTTCTGATTGGTTGTTTTGTCATTAATTTCGATATTCCCGGCAATGTACCCTAGTAATAACCAAAGTGTGCGAGAGAATTTCAAATCGGAAAAAACGTCATAAAAATGGCAGACGTGTAGATTGAAGTGATGAATATGATGGTAAACATTTATTCTCCAGCGTCACCTACGATGATAATAAAGGTTTTAAAGGGTTTGACATGGTTGATGTGGAAATACTTCGGTGTAACATAATATGTAACTTTCAAATGAACGGCTTTGTGCCCTACGCAAACATGAAAATATCGGCGGACCAAGGCGCACATGTCGTCTGCAGGTGAAGCCGAATTGAACATTGACACGTTTTGAGCCGATTGATTTCTTCAAACTATTTATCGATGATTTAATCATAAACTAGACCGTAGCTAAGATATATCTATATGTCGACTGTGACAATAAATATATTGAATGTGGGCAAAGATCAGTCATTTGAACAAACTTGGTAGCCCTTTATCCAGCATGTTACTGGCCAAATATCATAATCCTAGGCCATTTGGTTATTAAGAAGAAGTTAAATATTGACGCCGGACGACGCCGGACACTGTGCCATATGGCATAAGCTCACTTGGCCCATAGGGCCAGTTAGGTGGGCCAGGTGAGCTAAAAATTGTATTAAAATGGACGGCCGACGACGGACGGACCAAGGACGAAGGGCGATTTGAATAGTTTGCCATCAGATGATGGTGGGCTAAAAGATACCCATGTCTCACATTTGGGACACTTCCCCTTCATGACAAAACTACATCAACATATTTTTCTTTTCTTTTTTGGTGTGTGAGCAATGAGATTGTCCTGTTGTGCAACATGTATCCCAAATAATACAAGAGGCTTAATGGGTCTGCATCACTCACCTGGTATTAATCTCACTCATAATCTTAAGAGTATTTGATGGGGCTAGTAGAAATTCTATTTGGGCAAGTGCTTCGAAATTCTCTTACACCCTAAAGGTTATTATTATTCAAGAGTAAAATCTCCCAAATGTAACAAGCTGTAAGTTTTACCTGTGAGAGTATAAGATCCAGCTTGCCTTGTAGTTTTGAGAGGCGACTAAAGGCTGCCGTCCGAGCATCCATCATCTGATAGAGAGAGCTGAAAATTTCCACCACCTCTGGAAACTAAATAAATATAAATCTGATAACATGTGATGATAATAATCAAGTTAATTGTACTACAGCGCTTATCACTTAATATCATGTCGCTTAATACCACTTTTTCGTTCATATCTTGTTTTGTTGATGTGCCATTTTTCCTACTACATAATCTATGTAATTCACTGTCTGTTATTATCACTTGATAAAAGCTGACAGTGTAAGTTAAAAATGCTTTTGATTGAGATTTAAAAAACCAATTAACAATAGGCCCAATGGGCCTGCATCGATCACCTGGTATTAATCTCACACTTGTAATCTTAAAAGTGGACTAAAATACAGTTACAGGCAAAATATCAGTGTTTGATTCAGAAGAACCTTTTAAAAGATTTAAACATATGACGCCTGTGACCTTGAATGTTGAACAAGGACATTAGGTTGAACAGAGTTTATAGTCTTCCAACCAAGCATGATTCTTGCCAAATATCATCACCCTTGACCTTTTGCTTATTAAGAAGAAGTTGTTTAACGATTTTTAACATATTTGACCTTGAATATATGTCAAGGTCATTCATTTGAACAAACTTGGTAGTCCTTCATCCCAGCATGCTTCTGGCTAATTATCATCAGCTTGGCCCTCTTGGTTATTCAGAAGCAGTTGTTTAAAGTAAAAAGTTGACGCAGGACGAGCAACGGACAACGGATGCCGCACCATGCCATAAGCTAAAAAAGGTTTTCTTTTCTTTTCTGGTTTTGAGATCATCCCCATCTCTTCCGACTATTGTTGCTAAGGAAGTGCCGATATTTTAGTTTGTTCTTGCTTGGTAACGAGTATGGGTCTCGCTAGGCATAAAAAGTGCATTATCCGTCAAACCGTATCCAATTTTAAAACAAGAGGCCCATGGGCCTTAACGGTCACCTGAGTCTACAGTATTATTTTTTTTGTTGAAATATGTACCAATTTGAGTAAAAAATAGTATAATGTTAACTTAACTTTGTCAGGACCATGAGCTGATCATTCCTAGACCAATTTTAAGTGAGATCGGCCTATTAGAATTTAGTAGCAAAATAGCGGCCATGGCAGCCAAATTGTATTTCTGATTGACCCGAAAAATAACAACACT